ACCTTTAAAGTACAAAAATAAGGGGAAAATTCATACAAGCAATAACTCTATGAACGTACTTCTTGCACACAACTGTTGCCCCTATAAAAGAAAGGGCAACAGGGCCGCTTGTTCAAAAATCGAAGAGACACCACTCTCCGGATTTTGAGAAGCGGATTTTCCTGAGTAAAATCTATTGACAATCTCCACACACAACATCAACTCCTCGGATACTTCAGATAACTTTGCCAAAGATCTCTGACAAAGTTTAGATACATAAATTTTGAAGGTCCAGCTACCCTACCATTACCTACAAGGATAAAGGAACAGCACCACTGGTTGATAACTGGAAAGTCCCTATGTGTGTCAACCTTCGTGCTTCGTGGCAAGGCAGACTGGCAAAAATGCTCAACCTTTACTCACATCGAGAAAACACTCCCAACAGGATTACTTGCTCAAAAATCGAAGAGGCACTGCTCCCTGAATCTCGAGAGCCAGACACCCACCAGGATTGCTTTCTCAAAAATTGAAGAGGCACCGTTATCCGAATCTCGAGAGCCAGACTCCCACCAGGATTGCTTTCTTAAAAATCGAAGATTCACCGTTCTTCGAATCTCAAGAGCCAAACTTTCAACAGGATTGCTTTCTCAAAAATCGAAGAGACACAGCTATCTGAATCTCAAGAGCCAGACTTCCACCAGGATCGCTTTCTCAAAAATCGAAGAGGCACCGCTCTCTAAATCTCGAGAGCCAGATCCCCAATAGGATTGCTCAACGCTCTCCGAATCTCGAGAGCCAGATCCCCAACAGGATTGCTTGTTCGAAAACCGAAAAGGCACCGCTTTCTGAACTTCGAGAGTCAGATTTCCTTGGATAAAATTTGTTTGCAATCTTCACACGCAACATTAGCTTTCCATATACCACAGACCACTTTTTCAAAGTGCTTTGACAAAGTTAAAATACGTGAAGCTTGCAGCTCTCATTACATTGCTATGACCAAGAAAGGTAAAGGAATAACATTACTACTTTTTGTTGGGGAAACTCCTATATATGTCGACCTCCATCCTCCACGGACCAGCAGACCTACAAAAATGCTCAACCCTTCCTCATATCTGAGAGGGCACTCCCAACGAAGCCTCTCAAAATACTTAGCTTTCTTCCCCCCTAATAATACCTCTGCAAACCAGCCACACCAGAGCAAGAGTATCTCATATCATCAGGGTCAAAAGCAAGAGTATCTCATATCATGCTTTTTCCCTGTATTTTCCTTTGCCCTTGTTCTTACCTGCAAGATAATGAGAAAGAGAGTAATCAGTCAACACTTGGAATCAAGCTTCCAGTTAGAAACTAACTGCCTGGAACCCCTTGCTTGATTACTTACCTGGCATTGCTCTCGAGTACTCATCTTCAACATCTTGTGCTTCCAGAAAAGATACCACATCTGCCTGAGGAACAGATATGGCAAGTAAGAAGGATACAAGGAAGCATGTGGAGACAAGCGCAACAGAACATGTGCCAATTCATCTATTACTTTGTCAACAGTAAAAGTATCTCATATCATCAAGGTCGAACACACTCTTGATTTAATAGACTTGTTTTGACCCTTAAATTCTTGAGTCGGCCTTACACTTTGGAGGAAACTAGAAAACCCTTCAGCCCAGTTCAAAAATAAGCCTGTGGAAAGTTACTTCTTCAAAAGCAAAAGTATCTTATATCATCTCTTCTCATTTTCTTCTCCTTATCCTTCTTATTGCCTGCAAGATAGGGAGAATGAGAACAATCAGCCGAAACTCAAAATCAAACTTCTGATCTGGGATAGATTGCTTGGAACTCTGATTGCTTACCTTGTCTGTCACCTCTTTCGGCAGATCTCCTCGCTCAGAGACTTAGGGGATTCCTACTATAGGGTTTGTATCGCGCTTGACCAAGTTCGAAACTACAAGTAAACTTCAAGTGAAATTGATACATTACCTTGTGCATCTTCATCGGTTAAAGATACCACCCTTGGATGGAGGAAAAGTACTTCCAAAGAAGATGCCACATCTACCTATGAGACAGATAAGGCAAGTGAAAACGATACCACACTTCGGTACTTAGAAGTTTCGTGATTACTCAATGGCTTGGATCTTGCAAGTCCCCAACCGAGGAGCTTCCCTTACTCGGGAACTTAGGGGAGCACTGTTTGTACCATACTTGACCAATCCCGAAACTACTGAGCACCGGTCAACGTTATACCATCAAGGATCCACAAGAGTTTCCCTCCAACCAAGAGGCCAATCACAGCGCGACACATGTCAACACCAAGAGACCAATCACAAGGTGACACATGTCAACATCAAAGGCCAATCACAACTTGACACCTGTCAAGGCTAGAATAAAGCTAGAAACTCTCTTCTATAAAAGGAGATCATTTTCCTACAATAATCCCTAATGTCATTTGTACTAAATCATTCACTAGTACTCACTAAAGGAGAGCTTGAACCTACGTACTTGTGTAAACCCTTCACAATTAATGAGAATTCCTCTACTCTGTGGACGTAGTCAATCTAGGTGAACCACGTACATCTTATGTTTGCTTCCCTGCCTCTATCCATTTACATACTTATCCACACTAGTGACCAGAGCAATCTAGCAAAGGTCACAAACTTGGCATTTTATGTTGTACCAAAGTCCTCACTGATTTTGTGCATCAACATAATTAATTACAGTAATGCTAGGTAGACAAAAAAGACTAAAATTGCAAACTAATGTTGGTTCACCAATAAAAAAATAAGCACGTTAATCAAAACTTAAATAATAATTCAACCATTAACTTCCATGTTATTTAGTTTACAGAATTTAGTCTACAGATTTAGTCACCCTAGCAATACCAATTAAGTATATCGCATGAAGTTATGTCACTGGTGGATTATGAGGACTAGATTATTGTAGTCTATACAAATGTTTCTCAGTTGTCTCTGCAGTATGTGAATAAGAACCCTAAAAATCACTATTTAGCTAAAATACATACAATAGGCAAGGAACTAATGAAAGAGAGCCAATATAAACAAATATTAAAGTTAAATTATTTTCTCAGTATCAGAATACAATGGGGATATTTACAATGGGAGTATTGTCAACCCTTCAGGAAACAAAATTGAAGAGTTTTGTTTAGTGATGTTGGCCATGACATTAGAAGGAATGTAAACAAGAACGGTGACCAGTGACGGCCTCTTCAGTGCACGGAATAGTGATGCCACCCATCGGATGAGTGAATCCAAACTTTTCTTCACTGCAGCTTAGCAAGTCTTTGAACCACTAGTGGATCAAGTATGATATTGGTACTACAAGTCTCTTCTTCTGCTCCTCTCCTACATATACAGCAAAGTGGCCTTTTGGGACATTCGCTGTACTTATCCTCGATTGCTTACCCGTCAAGAAAGATCGCCGGATGATTGATAGCAAGCTCAAACCCATGTTTTATGTGGAATATTGATATGCCTTCAATAATTGAGAGATTTTTAATGAGAAATTTTTGTGATAATAGAGTGTGAAAACTTGGGGTGAAGATTTGTATATCTACTTTGCAGCATATATAGGGGTGGAAATAATACGGATGATATATGGTAATCAGATTCTTCTGTCCTCTCACTAATTTATCAAAAGTTGATCGGTCAATTAATCTGATGTATAAAGGTAGCAAGTTGCAAAATCATGCCTACTCAACCCTACCCTACCCCTCGCATTTCTCTGTCAAACCCTAATTTAAATGTCTTGTAGACTAAAGTACCTGATCTTCTTGGATAAGCCTAATCTTCCATGTATGGCCAATAAATCATAATACGCAGAGTGTGAAAATCGCTTCCCTTGGCATATCAAACTTGACTAAATGGAGAGAAGAAAAAAAACAAGAAAAGAAAATTGAAAACGGTATCTTTCAATGCATTACATATCACAGAAAGATATCATGTCAGCTTAAGTTGGTTCTGTGCTTCCCATCAACCTTACCATCAACTTCAATTCTGGCCCCAAGTTTAATCGCCATGTTTTTGTCACAGTACACATCACATGGGGCGATAACCTAGCTTGTTCCTTGTCCGGTTGACATTTCGAAAACCCGGCGCTGAGAACTTCTGTTTGCTGGAAGAAAGAATGCCCACAGTGAATTTTATCTATCTTATTAGAGTCCCTAGTTCCTGTGTTCTCTAGGTTATATGTTGTATCCAGCTGGTGGCATATACAAAGTGGAATAATTTCTGCAGCCAATATGTGTTCATTGGTAGTAGGCCATGATATATCATATAATTGTGAAGTTGTATGAAATCTGTCATGTCATATATCATTAGTTGGGAGACAACTCCATGTGATCCCTCATGAAATATGTCCAGAAACAAATCCAAATAATAGATGGAGAACATTCAGGTACTCTAAGGTAAAGTTTCCGTATGGATTCTTTGTGGATTTCGGTGTTAAATTCACGGTTAGAACCTATCCTTACAAAACCATCTTAACGAAAATGTGCCTATATGTTCAAACCACCGAGAGAAATTGGAACTATGCTAACATAGCCCCGTGGTTTTAATCTACCCGCCTTCAACATACATTCAAGCTCCAAGTGACAGAAAACGAGATAAGTGGTGTAGAGCTAACGAGTTAAAAGTATTGTAAACATGCTAAAACATAGCCGGTCTTGAGATTTTAAGGGGCTTTAGATACGAGGACCCTGTGCAAATGCTCCACCTGCATTGCCCCAGGGCCGGCCCTGTGTTGAAACATTTCTATACACAAAGCATTACTAGTATTTACTATTTTTAGTTTAACTTTGTAAGATTTTTATTTTATTTTCTTTGTTTTTAAATTTGTATCATCTATAGGCTACTTTGGTGTTATCTAAATGAGGTAGGGCAAGATGCTTGTCTGGAAGGTGACAGGTTTGGCCAATACCAGATGAAAGGCCACAAAAACAAAAAAGTGGACAGACCAAACCATGTGAATCCTCATGGCCAATATCTTACCCTTTTTATCTATATAAACTCAATTGGTTACACAACCAACACAAGTCTCACATTAGTTCTTCACCATTTATCCACTTCCATTGTTCTACAATTTCTTTGCACTCTTTTGCTTGTTCTTCCTTTAGACCACCATGGGTTTTCGTTTGCCCGGAAAGAAAAATCATCGACACTCGACCTCAAACCAGGCTGCCTCAAGAGCCGTCAATGTTCCCAAGGGCTACTTTGCAGTCTATGTTGGGGAAAGCCAAAGAAAGCGGTTTGTGATTCCGATATCATACTTGAACGACCCTTCATTCCAAGATTTGCTGAGTCAGGCTGAAGAAGAATTTGGATATGATCATCCAATGGGTGGAATCACAATCCCTTGCAGTGAAGACAGATTCCTTCACCTCATTACTAACTCCAGTGGATGCTAACATAGAGTTTTGACATCAAGGACAGCTGAAAGATAACTTCTTGACATCGATTTTTGCCAAAGCGGAGGAGAACTGGAGGCTAACAATATGGATTTAAGTACAGCTAGGGTAACAGATATTCAGAAGGATGCTTACCCATGTATCCGAAATTCGGATTTTTCTAATCCATATTTTTTGTCCGGGGACCTCTCTAATCTTTAAGTGACAAGATTATGAGCCAATTATGAATGTATGAGACAACTACTGTTGTAAACTTCATCTTAATCAGATTTATTGAATTTTTCTTCCTTTATCATTGATGTTTATTGTTTATCTTTAATCTGTTTTTCTCACAAATAATGGTTGCACAGAAATACAATCCATCGATCTACATAAATGATAATTTGACTTTTGACTACTTATATACTGAAACATACTTTTGGGGATCTAATTAATCTGGCTCATGATTCTCTTAGCCTTTACATCTCACCCAAATGAAAAATTCACAATCCTTTATTTATTTTTGACAAACCTAAACAGGCGACTGAAAAGCAATTAAAATAAGTACAGGATACAGATGGTTACATACAAGAGCAAAGTTGTCAGCTCTGCTGGATTCCGCTAGGCCATGTCTGATTCTTCACTGGTTTCAGAATAGCTTCAACCTCTGCTAGAGTTTTCTCATTCTTGCCAATGGTCGCGAGCTCCACAGCAGCAGCGACATTTTCCTCAACCTGATTATTTAAACAATCATGTAGTACTTAAGACAGATGAATGATCTATATGAACGAAGGCATTTTATAACATAATAAAAAGGGTTTTCTATGTGATGTCAATGTGACAGGACCATGTAGGTATTCATTTACTTGACATGATCACGAGTTTGTGCGACTATAAAACTATAGAGCTGGGTGGAATCTACATTCCCCGACTCTAAAATCAGAACAGAATGAGCAAGTTAAATGCAAATGATGGTTGGGAACCTGATTAATAGAGTTCATGCCGACCAGCACTGATGAGATATCCTTATTGGACAAGCTGTATTGCAGAGCTAACTTTGAAATATTATTCCCTCTCTCTTTACAATAGACAGCAGCAGCTCGGCAAGCAGACTGTAAGAACATAAAACACATTAAATCAGTTATGATTTCCAAATCACATTAAAGAAGACAGGATTGCATGAATATAGCACCAGCTGGAATTCATGCATCGAGAATGTTAACCTTCAGTTCAGCAGATGCAGGGTGCCATTCTGGAGGACCATTCTCAGTAAGCAGACCCATTGCAAGTGGAGAAGCACTAATGATTCCAACACCTTTGCTCTTGAGGTATGGTATTAGATCCTCCAATGTTGAATCATTAATACCGTAGTGGCATATGACAGGACCACGTCCACCATGCCAGCTGGTATACGATCAAGAACATATGTGAAAATTCCCAATGGAAGTCCTGTGATACCAATGAAACGAATCTTCCCAGCTTCTTTCAGTTTCTTTAAGGCAGGGATTGTCTCGTTTACAATCTGTTAACCAAAATAAACGGGAACACACAAGCTTGATCATTACAACGTATCAATTGAGATGATATTCCCTAACAGACAGAAAGGGAAAAAAAAAAGGAACAACTCTACATGTCACACTGTGAATTAAAGCAAATAAACCAACACAAATTGAAGAACGCAAACAAGAAATGCCAAAGCACCTGGTCCAGAGACCCAAATTCAATGTCATGGCATTGCAGTATATCGACGTAATCTAGCTGCAATCTCTCCAAGCTCTCATCAATGCTCTTAGTCACTCTATCAGCACTGAAATCAAAACCGTCAGCATAGCGTCCACACTTGGTTGCCACAACGTACTCGCTTCTCGGCACACCTAGAGCTTTTAGCGTTTTACCAAGCACCTTTTCTGACAAAGTCCCTCCATAATACCTAAAAATTTGGAAGAAAAAGGGTAAAATGAACATATAAAAAGTTCTATGACTTCTTCCATAGAACAAATACAAGATCATATTTGATCATCAAATTTTAATGTCTATTTACATCTCATCTCTCCAACCAAACAGGTTTTTCTGGATCACAAACAATGGGAACTCTAAAAGTATCAAAATTTTCCTTTGATCATCAGTCATATTAATCCCAACTCTTCATTTTCTCAGCAACCAAACAGAAGCATCAGAAAAGTAATTCCCTTTAAATTCCCGCTAATCATCTCCAACCAAACACCCCATTACAATTGACAAAGTTTCAATCTTTCTGGCTGCATTATAAATTAAGTTTACTCTTTAATCTAACCATGAGAAAACATGCTCAATTTTACGAAAATTCCTTAAATTCCTCAAATTTTCTTGGTATCCATACAGAACAAGAATAAGGGTTACCCACAAAACTTAAAACTTGAGAGAGGATCAAAAGTTACATACGGAGAGGTGTCAAAGAAGTTGATGCCTCGGCGGAAGGCTTCGCGAACAGAGCCGATGGCTTCGTCATCGGAGACGGGACCGAAGACGTTGCCGAGAGGGGAGGCCCCGAAGCCGACACAGCTGAGCTTGAGGCCTGTGTTGCCAAGCTCTCGGAGTTCAACCTTTGGCAGCGGTTGTGAAGCCATTGTTTTGTTGTTCTGTTGGATGTTGTTGGGAAGCACCGAAGTGGAAGTGAAGTGAGAAATACGTCCCAATCGGATTAAATAACTGAAAACTGAAATTCTTTTTTTTGTTTTTTTTTTTTTTTTTTAAAGAATTTTTGCATTCCCACTTAGAAAATAAAATTTTCATGATGAAACCGTTTAATATTTTAATTTTCATTGAACAATATTCTTAAAAAAATTATTCGAATTAAAAATTGTTTGTATCAAATAAATGAATGGTTTATTATTTATATGTTACTTGATACTTATATGGTTGATTTATTTGGTACATTTGGATGATTAAAGGATCTCCAATTCAAATGACTTTTTACAAGGGTGATCTTCAAATTGAACTCATGAGTTCAATATATTAAACTCATGAGTGTGATACTTAGAAAATAATAGATTCTAAAGTATGACTTTCACAGTTATTGAATTTAACAATAATATAACAGTAGTGTATTACATATTAAAATCAGGCTGCCTGATTCCTATGTATAGATATAACACTCACTCAAACTAGTTTGAAATGCCTTTAGTACTACGATCCAATTGAATTCATATTTATTTGTAAATGAACGGTCTTTTTGAAGTTTGTAGATGATGATTTCGAAACCAATTTATTGACCCCACCTCTTAGTGTCAATATATCATTGTGAAAGAAAATACAAAACGATACTAAATTAAATTAGCATAAATGCTAAAACGTTTTACTATTAGCACTTCAAAATAGTCTACTTTACCTTCTCTATTCACCCGAGCCAAACTAGAAAAATAAGGTCATTTGAAAGCCAACTGAGCTGGAACTCAAAAAAATTTAAATCATGCTTCAGCTCTAGGAACTTTGTTCGAGGTTGTGCTGAGCTTCAGCTCAAATAATATTAATCGAGCCGACCTTAAACACCTTGGTATTCGACTTGGCTCAGTTCATAATATGCGGTCATGAAACAGAGATTAAGTGGAATAGAATTAATTGGATGATAGAGTCATGGAAACACCTATTTATTCATTTTTTTTTCATTCTTTCTCCATGGAACAATATACTATCGAAAACATGGAAGAATTGAAAATTTTAGATCAAAAACATTATGTATGGATGGCATGAACTGCCTAAACAAGAATTCTTGAACAACGAACAACCAGAGCTATTACTCACTACATCAAAAAAAAAAAAAAAAAAACAAATAGAGCACAAGTATCTTCTTTCATATATTTGACTTTGTAAACTTTTAAACGTAATTTTTCTTAGACTAAGATTTGTAACGTTCATTTCATCTTTCGTAAAAACAAAATATTTCTCGAGGAGAGTGAGTGACCAAAACTTATCAAACGTTTGCTATTCAATTGTGTGGTTAGCAAGAAATGAGAGAGAGAGAGAGAGAGAGAGAGAGAGAGAGTTTGTTGATAACGAAATTTTGGTCCTCTTGCATAAATTTGGTCTAAGATTAGAGATGATGTACTTGTACAGCTTGAAAATCTACAAAATATGATTACAAAGAAATGTGCTATAGTCGATTGACACGATTTGTACAACTAAATTGCGGGAAACTTGTGCAACAAATTAGGTAGGAAACTTCCCTCTGCAAAGATACTTCCTTTGAATTTTTGTCCTCCCTTGCCAACATGCAACGCTTCACCGCCTTCATTTTTGTTTGATAGTAATGGCATATCTTATTGGAGTAGGATTATCTCCCCTCTTATTCTCATCCTCTTCCTTTCCATCCTTTCACACTTTACTTTTTGTCTTATTGTCTTTATAAAAAAAAACATCAATATAAGATGTTGATATGGTTTAACTGTAAGTATTCAAGTAGGAGGAGAGAGAATCCTCCTTTATCTCCTATCTTATTTACTATGTTGGTATATAACACCCCTCCCTCCCCCCCCCAAAAAAAAAGAACTAGAGAGCATTAGGAGTGGGTTCGGTTCAAATCGGTTCGGTTTTTTGTCAAAACCAAAACCAAACCGAAATTTCGGTTCGGTTTGGTTCGGTCCATTTTTTTTCGGTTTTTTTTTGTTCGGTTTTTTTTGGGTTTGTTTTTTTCCGGTTCGATTTCAGTTCGTTTTCGGTTTTTTGTTTTTTTTTTTTTCAAAAAATGAAAAACATTGAAATTTAAAATTTTAACATCTCCAACACAATCATAACATAAGCATTCTAACTAGAATCAAAGACAATGAAAATAAACATTTAAAGTTGAACTAAAATCATCAATCAAGTCTTCCAAAGTCCAAACTAACAACTTCACAACACAAAAATTGTACAAATGACATAAAAAGTTAAATTGTATGATGTTGTTCAAAGATCAGGGTTGTTTGCTTGTAACTGCATGTTGACAACTTGATTAGTAAAAGTAATGTGTGGGTGGATTTATTTAGTGTGTGTTGGATTCTTTTCCATCACAAATTACGCAAGTAATCTACCCGAAATAAATGTTTATGGATTATGTTACATGTTATATGAGAGTAGATTTGGAAAAGAAAGTTGGGGCAGAAGTAGACAGTGCTATAGAGATGGATGTAGGTACTTCAGGAGGAGGTTTGGTTCCAGAACCTTTTATGGGGGTGAAATAATAGGTTAGGGTTTAGAGTTTTTATAGGCATTTTTTTAATATTTTGAGCTTAAAATTTGGCAACACATTGGGTTTAGCACATTTTAACTTACAAATTGGGTTTAGAAAATAATACCCAAAACAAATAATTAAATAAAAAAAATTAATTTAATTAATTCGGTTCGGTTTCTAGATCACTAAAACCAAACCAAACCAAAAGAATTCAGTTCGGTTCAGTTTTTTCAATTTGGTTCGGTTTTTTCGGTTTCGGTTCGGTTTGGTTTTCGGTTTTTTTTCGATTTTCGGTTTTTTGAACCCACCCCTAGAGAGCATGTAGTTATTAATTCATATGTTCCATATCTTAATTTAGCCGATTACCCCTTATTTGAATTTGGGTCTTGAACTGAAATAGATGAACCGAGATGATCATGTGAATCAAGTCACAATGAAGGCTACTGAAATGGCATCACAACTCCAACTTGTTGCTAAAAAAGCAAGACCATTGAGAAGATGCATAGTTGCACACATTAGGAATAAGTCCAAACAAAAAGGTGTACAAAGTGAACTAGTGAAAGAGAGAAGAAGAAGAAGAAGAAAAAAAAAAATATATATATATATGTTGTCCACATTAGGGATAAAATTATGTTTTTGCATTCAGATAATTGCCATGTGCCCTGCATGTGACCAAGATGGATAGAAAATTGGATAAAAATTTTCAAAATCTAAAACGCCAGGGGAAATTAGCTAATCATAAAAGTTCATGAGGTATTCAGCAAAAATTAAAGTTCATTGAGAAAATTAGCCAATTGTTAGAATTCAGGTGAGTAATTGGTTAAAATCAAAGCTCAGGGAGAAAATTGCCATCTCCGTACAAGTTTTTTTTTTTTTTTGTGGGGTGGGGGGTGGGAATATACAAACATGAAGATCTTGTGACAAGGTTGAACAATATGAATATATAATAAAAAATTTTATACCATGTGCATGAAAATTTTAAGGATGATGACAACTTTAGTCCAATAGACGTACGTTTGACATAATTTCACTTCAATTCATGTAGTTTTAGTCATATGTATCTCAATCAAATTCTCCTTAAAATTTGTTCACTTCAATTCATGTAGTTTTAGTCATATGTATCTCAATCAAATTCTCCTTAAAATTTGCTACAATCAAGATTAAAAGGCCATTTATTTGTTTAATATCCATTATTTTGTTGGTTTATTAGCTCATCAAGCTAGCCGGCTACAATCACAATTCACAAGCAACACAGCTGAGGAATCTCCATATTCTTCTAGATGCATGTATATATATTTGAATTTGATTTCTAAGTGCTTGACATCAAGGTGCAACCTGTAAAGTTTTAAAGTATACGTTATAAGTAGTGTTGTTATATATCATCACCACACGGTTTAGTACCATCTTTGTCAACTCAACGCTATCATTCTCTTCTGTGTACCTTTGAGTTGGTTTCAACTTTCCAGCACCCAAAAAGTTGCTATGCATATAAGAAATCATTTGCAAGCACCATGCATTGACATGTTTACTCTTATTTTTATCAATAGAAAAGCCTTTTGATATCCCATGCATTGACCCTCATTTTGTTGGATCTTAAACTTAGGAGATCGCCTTTGTCAAAAACAATAAAATCTTCCCGGAGTTCTTTAATCCGGCCGGCTTAAGTGCCTCGGAATGTGCTCAAGTCCGACCGGTCGAAGCAATGTTATGCATTAATAGCACATTGAGTTTTAGGGTATGGTTGGTTTTACAACGTCATGAACCTCGTTATGTATGCAGTTTTCATATCAAGCACCGTGTGGGTTAAGAGAACAATGGTGCGTTTGTTGCACCGGACTATCTCGGACTGGACTAGCTTCAAGGACTAAGCTGGACTGGCTTAGACTAGACTAAGCTGGACTAGTTTAGTGAAGCGTTTGGTGCAGTGTCAGACTAAGAAACTGGACTAACAATAAATTATTATTATATTCAATTTATTTTCTATTAAAATATTAAAATGAATATATGGAAAAATAAAAAGGGCATAGCCCTCTGCTTCTTCTTCCTCACGAATTGCAGGTGCTGCAACTTAGAGAATTATCAATTTTTTAATAACAAAGCTAACCCAGTCAAAACCCAAAAAACAGAGATCCAAATATCCAATAACAAAGAGAAAATTTTGATTATTACAAATAAAAAATACCCTAAAAAGATCCAATTAATTGCTGGTGCTCCTCTCACACTCAGGTTTGGGAGAGGATCCTCTCCGGACCCAATCCCACCGGATCCTCCGAGCCCTCATTCTTCTTCATTTTTCCCTGCAGTTTTTTCCAACAGTTCGAATCCAATGTTAACGACTTCTCGGATATTTGGCTTTGTGAAGGTCGCTGGAAAGCTCCTCCTATATTCGGTTTCTGATTTTCATGATGGTGAAGGCTTCACCATGA